CTGAGCGGGCTGCGCCCCGGGGCGCTCCTGCCCTGCCGCCGCCCCCGACGTCACTCCCCCGTCCCCTTGCCCTCCCTCCACACCCCCTGCCGGCCTCAACAAGCGACACAGACCGAAAATTTCGTGACATTCCTTTAGGCATCACCACTGCACACACGGGGTGGGGGGGCGTTGCGCGCCGGGGTCCCCGGGCGGAGGAGCAGCGCGCGGGCTGCACGGGGAAAGCGCGTGCTCGGGTACCGGGAGGACTGGCCCTGTACAAGGTGGCTGGCGGGTCACACGCCAGGAGCGTAGGGGAGGGCGAGCGGGTAGCGCTCAAGGTGCAGGGCACGGTTGAGGACAGTCCCGAGCCAGCGTCAGGTTCGGCCCTTTGGAGTCTGGAGGAGGAGGCCCGAGGCAGCCGCGAGCCAAGGGCCACCGTGGGGAAGGGGCTCGGGTGGGAGGTGCAGCAGGAAGAGGAGAGTGGTGGGGCGCGGGCTGCAGAGGGAGGCGGGCGCTGAAGGAGGGGCGACCCGGGCAGCGGGGGCCGCGGGCCCCGCTACGGCTGGGGGGAGGCCGAGTTTTTATTTCAACGCCGCCGCCCACGCCTGAGCGGGCTGCGCCCCGGGGCGCTCCTGCCCTGCCGCCGCCCCCGACGTCACTCCCCCGTCCCCTTGCCCTCCCTCCACACCCCCTGCCGGCCTCAACAAGCGACACAGACCGAAAATTTCGTGACATTCCTTTAGGCATCACCACTGCACACACGGGGTGGGGGGGCGTTGCGCGCCGGGGTCCCCGGGCGGAGGAGCAGCGCGCGGGCTGCACGGGGAAAGCGCGTGCTCGGGTACCGGGAGGACTGGCCCTGTACAAGGTGGCTGGCGGGTCACACGCCAGGAGCGTAGGGGAGGGCGAGCGGGTAGCGCTCAAGGTGCAGGGCACGGTTGAGGACAGTCCCGAGCCAGCGTCAGGTTCGGCCCTTTGGAGTCTGGAGGAGGAGGCCCGAGGCAGCCGCGAGCCAAGGGCCACCGTGGGGAAGGGGCTCGGGTGGGAGGTGCAGCAGGAAGAGGAGAGTGGTGGGGCGCGGGCTGCAGAGGGAGGCGGGCGCTGAAGGAGGGGCGACCCGGGCAGCGGGGGCCGCGGGCCCCGCTACGGCTGGGGGGAGGCCGGGGCCATTTAGCCTCCTCTCCCCACTGCTCGGAGACCCCAGGGCCCTGCCCAGCCGGCTCAGCTCTGGCCCATCCTCAGCCGCTCCGGTCCACACCTTGGTCCAGCAGAAGCCGCCCGCCAGGCAGCGGGGTGGGCGGATGGGAGGCCCAGGGTGGGCAGTCTCTGGGCGGGTGGGCTTCCCTCAGGCCTTCCCGAGCAGCAGGACCCATCAGTGCCCTTGGCCGGGCTAACTGGGCGGGTGGGCGCCTCCGGGGGCCTCACACCACGGTGCTGACCGAGGGATCTGAGAGGTTGAGCGGGCCCGTGATATCAGTGGGATGGTACTGCTGCAAAATAGAAATACACAGACAAGGCGCCCGTTAGCCCCGAGGCGGGGGGCACGTGCGGGGCCGGGATGGGGTGGACCGGCCACCGGCGGGCGGGCGCGGCCTGGGCAGGCTGGGGCCGCTCCTCCCCGACCCCATCGTGCTCCGGGGCTCTGCGTGGGCCGGGCCGCTGTCCCGTCCGTCTGTCTGTCTGTCTGCGGGGGAGGGGCGTCTCAGCTCTCCCTATGACGGGAACACAGCTGCAGCTGGCCCTCCTCCCTTTCAATAGCGCGTCGCGGCAGCACCGTGTCTTTTTGGTTTTGCAAAGCGCCGCGTCCACCCCCGGTGCTCTATAAATAAGAACCAACAATCAATACCCGCTGGCCCCGCCGGCCGCCAGGGACCCCAGCCCTGAGCGCCCAGTGCCGCCCTGGCCCACACCGGCCACGGGACAGGGGCAGAGGATCTCAGCAGCTGGACCAAGCCCACCCTGCCCGAAGGAGCCCCCCACCCAGGCCTCCCTCCAGCCCCAGAGACAGGGTGGGAGCTGGGCTGCCCGCCCCACCCAGCCCCCCAGCTGGCAGTGCCCTGAAGTTAACCCTGCAGGGCGGGGCCAGCCCCAGATGCTGCATGGTGCCAGGGCTGGCCCCGGAGGATGGTGCCCAGGGTGGCTCGGGCAAGGATTTTGCTGACAACGTATCCCCAGAAGGGCACTGTAAGGGTCTCTGAGCTGTACCCGGATCAGTTCCAGGCAGGGCCCTGGAACTCAGTGCCACCCTCTGAAAGTGGCCCATCACTTGCACGACTTTTGTGCTTCTCGCTTTTAGCCACCTGCCCCCAAAACGCTGTTTCTCCTGTCTGCCGGGATACCGTCTCCTTCCCCAGACTGCCTCATGCCACAGTCCTCTCGGGCCCAAGCTCACCTCCTTCTCACCGCCCTGCGCCCCTAGCGGCCCTAGGCTCAGATCTTGCAGCGCAGGCTCCACCCACTCTCTGGGGCCTGGGTGGCCCCAGGGACTGCACCTCATCTGCTCCTTGAGCCTGCAGCTGCAACCAGCCCCACAGCCCCACACTCTCCAGCCATCCTCCCTGTGCTGAGACCTTATCTCGGGGAAGCTGAGCATCCAGACCTCAGGGGTCCCCTGGGGCACCCTGGTGGCTTCATCCTGGGACTTGGATTGCTCGTTTGTGTCCTGGAGGTCTGCCCCTTTTCCTGTGTACTGGGAAGCGTCTGCAAGTCCCATTTCTTCCCTGCAGCATAAGCTCCCTCAGGGCGATGCTGCCCATGGGTTGGGGTTCTTGTGGGCTGGCTCTCTGGGTGGCCCCTTCCCCACAATGTTGCCTGGGACCAGGGTGCCTCTAGCAAGGCTGGATCCATTTGGAGGGCCTTTGGTCTGAGTATGCATTATCTTTTTTTTTTTTAAAAGATGACCGGTAAGGGGATCTCAACCCTTGACTTGGTGTTGTCAGCACCACGCTCAGCCAGTGAGCCAACCGGCCATCCCTATATGGGATCCGAACCTGTGGCCTTGGTGTTATCAGCACCACACTCTCCCAAGTGAGCCACAGGCCAGCCCTGAGTATGCATATCTTGTGCAGTGACAAGCTGCCCAAGGCAGGAGGCAGGGAGATTCTGGGCTCAAAAGGGCAGAAAGACTGGCTCTGACAGTGGCCCCGAGGGGGTGGCTGGGGGTCAGGAGTTGAGGCGCTGGTCTCCTTCCCAGACGCCTCCCCTTCTGGGCCTCTATCTGGGAACCCCAGTGTCGCCCCGGGATCTGCAGGCCAGGGCTTGTGGGGCTACCCCTACCTGTTCTCAGATACTTTGGAAGCTGCCGCCCCACTCCCTGCAGGGCCCCTGCTCAGCCTGGGGTGGGAGCCACCCCTTCTGATCCCACCCCATTCCCTGCCTGACAGTCCCCTGTGGCCGAGGGCCAGTTTCAACTCCAGGCCCCAGCCGTCCACCCATATGGACCCAGGCCCGGCCCCCAGCCCCCGGCCCACACAGAGACCACATGGAGGATGCAACAGGCATGGCTCTGCTGAGACAGGTGAGACAGGTGTCTGGGGGCAGGGCCGGCGGCCAGACAGACGGACGGGATGGGACATCACAGCCACCCCTCCAGGGCTGTCGCGGGGAGGGGGTGAGGCGGCGGGCCCCTCTGGGAGAGGCGAGAGAAACGATGTAACAGAGCGGTGGTGTGGCCTCCCAACAGGCGAGGGGCCCAAGACAGGGCCGCTGTGGGCTCCCAGGGCCCAGGTGTGGCCCAGAGAGGTGGTGAGGCTGACTGACTGACCAACGACATGACACGGCTTCAGGATGGCGTGTAGGTCATGGCATGGGGGGCAGGGGGAGGCAGACTAACGCAGACACACAGGGAAAGCCGAGGACCTGGGGAGGGTTGGGGAGAAAGGTCTAGAGAGTCAGAGAGAGAGCACAGCACCAGTGTGGCGGGCAGAAGGGGGCTGGCTCGGTGGAGGTGGGGGGCAGAACAGGGCATGAGAGTCAGAGGAGGGGGGTGGGATGATAAGGGGGAGGGGAGACAGACACGGGTGGGGAGCGAGGGAGGAGTTGGAGACGTGGGACTGGGGTGCTCTCCCCCTTACCGTGTCTTTGGAGGACCTACGTCTCTTGAAGCTGGAAGCCAGGGTGGAGGTGATAGCCCTAAATGTGGCTTTCTTTTTAGGGTCGGGCTCTGCTCTACCACTCTTTCTATCCTAAAATGAATATGTATAAGTGATTAGATGGCTAAGGGTGGTGGCCACACCTGCCCTCGCCTGCTCCTCGGGGGGCCGCTGCCCGGCCTGGCCGGCCACTCGGGCCCTCGCTTCTGCTTGCTTCCCTGTGCTGGACAGACAGACTGACAGCTGGACCTTTGAGGGTGGCCTCTTCTCCTGCCCAGGGTCTTAGGCCTGACCTTGCTGGTGCTGGGGCTGGTCTCGGGGAGGGTCCCGACTGGCTCTCTTCCTGGGAGTTCCACCTGGCTCCCTAGCTCCTGGGTGGCCCTGGCTTACAAGTGTCCCGAGGAGGAGAAGCCCTCCAAGGACTGGAGGAACAGCCCCTTGGGTGACGCCAGCCAAACTGTGTGGAGGCTGCTGACTCCCAAGGGGACATACATCAAGATTCAGGAAGGGGCCGAAGGCAGGTGTCGAGATGGAATTGGAGCGATAGACAGAGGCGGCTCCCAGGACCCCAGCTTTAGATCTTATGGCCAAGATGGCCTGTGCCCACCAGTGAGAGCAGCGGCCAGGTCCCCGGGGGACCTGCAGGGCCAAGAGCAAGAGTGGGCGGATGAGAGGTGTGGGGGCTCCAGCAACCCCCATCCCTCCAGTCTTTGCTGCAATGCCAGCTTCATCTCAGGACACAGGCTCCAGGAAGGCACCCAGAGAAAGAGAAGAGATGGAGTGAACCAGAACTCGGACCAGCCCAGACCCCACTACCCACCCGGCCCAGGTGGGCTGTGGCTGCCCCACATGCAGCCTCACCTCTGCTGGTGGCAAATTCCCATGGACACAGCCTCGGGACCAGGCAGGGCTGAGCCGGCCCAATTTGGATTGGAGTCACAGAGCACAAGGACACAGCAGGAAAGGGGGGTCCCCAAAGGGTGTTGAGGGGGCCTGGGACGACGGAGGGCAAAGTGCATCTTAGACTCACGTGCTACACACAGGTTGGCCCCTGCTGTACCCTGCCTGTTTGCTTTCCTATGGAATGGGTGCCGGTGGGCGACTCTGGAGACAGAGGGGCCAGGCAGAGGCTTGGAGCAGTGTGCGTGGCCTCCGTTGGCCCGGCTCTGCAGTGGGTGGCCACCTGCAGGCAGCCCCCCATGAATGCTGCCCCTGTGTCCCAGGAGCACTCACCACTGACCCTGGCCAAGGCTCCTAGCTCCAGTCCTGCCCACGGGAGCCAAAGCCAGCGCCATGGCCTGCGGGGTTGGAGGAGGGCCACGGCCAGGCCAGGCCCTGGGTACCAGGCCTCGGAGGGTGGCCTGCCCTACCTGCAGGTTCTTCCTCCACACGTTCACCGCTGCAAAGGCCAGCTGCATCTGCTTCCTGCGAGCGTCCTTGTGCCGCTTGTAGGCGATCTCGATGAAAATCAAGAAGATCCCAGCCACGATGCCCCCAGCCACCAGCATGAAGACCCCTGTGTCCAGGACCCAGAGCCTCAGCTGCTGGTCAGGGAGGTGAACCCACCCCGGTGTCAGCAAGCTGTGGAGGGGAGTGGGGGGGCCCCACCTGCCATGTTCTCGAAGGTGAGGGTCGCAGGAGCGTTGCTGCGTGAGTCACACTCCTGATACCGAACCCACGTCTTGTCCAGGTCTTCCATGAAGCCATTCTCATGGGACCTGGGGGTGCAGAAGTGTGAGCCAGGGCAGGGCCTGTGGTGGGGTGGGGCTCGGAGAGGGCAGTGCCTTGCCCGGGGTGGGGCGGCATCTGCAGCTGACTTGGTGCAGTCAGGCACTGGAGAGGCTCCACTTCTGGTGCGGAGCCTCTTGGAGAGGGGTGGCGAAGGGAGGTGGGGCTGCAGGGGCAGACTCACTTGAGGATGGACAGGGACACGTTCTGCTTCCAGGGGCTGTCCTTGCGCATGCCGATGCCAAAGCCCGAGCGGAAGAACAGCTCGCCCGTGGTCACCAGGTCACACTTCTGCGAGGCCTCAAACTCCAGCACCGCCGAGTCCCAGATGAAGGCGTGCAGCTTGCTGCGGGCAGAGGCAGGGGTCACGGGAGCTACGCACAGCGGTGTCCTCGCCGCCCCCATGCTCGCTGTCCACCCTCCTGCCGGCCCCCCCCCCCCCCGCCCCCCGCCCCCCCCCCCCCCCCCCCCCCCCCCCCGGCGGGGGCCCCCCCCCCCCCCGCCCCCCGCAGCCCCCCCCCGGGCCCCCGGACACTGTCCCCGCTCACTCCTGCCGTGTGGTGGAGGCCGCCCTCTCCCTGCCCCCTCACTTGTCGCGCACGGCCTGGATGGCCTCGGCCGCGCTTTCGTAGTTGTGCTTCTCCATGTGCCGGTACATGGTGCTGAGCTCCACCTGCCGCCGGAAGTAGATGTCCACCGAGCTCTGCTTCACCGTCGCGTAGATGAACTTGTCCGACGGGTTCCTCAGCTGCAGGGCCAGAGAGCGGGGCTCGAGGCTGCTGCCCGCCCCGACCGAGGCCGACCCCCGCCCCGGCCCGGCGGGCCTCACCCGCGGGTCGTTGATGCCCGTGATGCGCTCCTCGGGCCGGTCCAGCACCAGGAAGGCCGCCAGGTTGGCGGTGTAGGAGGCCACGATGATCATGGCGAAGCCGGCCCACACCATGCCCAGGATGCGGGCCGAGAAGCTTCGGGGGGCGCCTGTGGGCAGAGGCGCGGTCAGCGGGGGAGGGCAGGGGGAGCGGGGCGTGGCCCGGGCGTGGCCTCACCTTCCCCGATGCCCGAGTTGAGCAGGACGCCCCAGGAGAACCACATGGCCGAGGACAGGGTCAGCGCGTCCTCTTCCTCCTCCTCGCTGTTCACCTTGAACCGGCCGAAGGGGCTGCAGGGCGCAGAGGGCGGGCGGGAGAGAGGGCGGGAGGGCGGCCCTGCCCCGCCCCTCGCCCGGCGCCGCCCGCCCCGCAGGTGTCCGGCCCCTCGGTCGCGCTCACCTGAAGCGGTCCAGCAGGTACAGCATCACGGCCACCACGTGCACCGACAGCCCCACCAGCAGCCACAGCGTGCTCTGGAAGGGCTGCATGAACGAGTCCAGAGTGCTCCGCGGGATCTCCTGCGGGCGGACAGGCGGTCGTCACCGCCCCGGCCTCCAGGGCCCCGCCGCAGCCCCGCCCGGCCCCTGCCCACCTTCTTGACCAGGATGGTCAGGCCCTGGTACTTGAAGGGCTTGGAGAACTCGATGTACTGCGCGCGCTCGTTGTTGATGGTCAGCGGCGCCACGATCATGTCCGCCTGCCCGCTGAGCAGCTCGCCCATCATCCCGTTCCACTCCTTCTTGTTGCTGTTATTCACCTGCGAGGCGACAGAGCCGGCGGAGGCGAGCTCCGGCTACAGCAGCG